AGATACATTTGCCTGCTCCTGCACTCTACACTGCAAAATCCTTGATCCCCTCTGCATGAAAGACGTACGCAACCGACATATCAGTCAATTATAGGTCATCAGAATTCAAGAAACCATCGTAATATTTGTAGCTCGAGCACACGATTTGTCCAACCAAACCCCCCCCCCCCCTTCCAAAAAAAAAAAGAAGAAGATAAATTACACCTAAGGAGGTGGAAAAGTTGTGCTTTAACTTTAAGTTCAAACATTAATTGAGAATGAGTTGCTAAAAATTTGGCGTGACATCCATAAGGTTATTGTCTTTTTGGTGTTGTTTTTGTTGGGGGGGGGGGGGGAGCCAAGTAAAAATTAGAGAAATACTACACTTACCGCTGACTCTAAATCGCATGGTACTAGGTACGAGTGTATCTATCAAAAGGTTCGTCTGGTTCAATGTTCTTACCTATACATGTAGACATCTTTATCAAGACGTAGAGTCTTGTTGCATAGGAAGCAGGAGCCGAGATAGCAGTAAGAAGACTGAGGAGAAAGGGTGGTAGGGGATGAGTGGGAAGATTGGTTAGCAGCAGTCATGCGAAAAATGGGTTTAACAAGTCTGAGGGCAGAGTTGAGGACAACATTGGAATGATCGGTGGGCAAAGTGGTATCAGCAGCTGTTAGTATCCTCAAGCCAACGGCGGTTGACGAGAGTTGGAGGTTGTGGGAGCTGATCAGTGACGATCTTTTCTTGTTTATCTTGCGATCATGATCAGTGTTCTTTTGATTTAGCTTCAGAGGGCTCCAAATTGAAACCGTGGAAAGCATCCTCAGCATTAATCAAGAAGAGGGCTGAGAGTAGAAAGTAGAGAGACAGAGAGAGATAGAGATCGGATACGGAAGAAATGGAGACGAAGGGAATGAAGCGCTCAACCACAACAGCCGTATTAATTTAATTTAACTTCAACGTGGAAATGGGACTCATCAGTCATCATCGTCAATGGACAAAATAATCTGCTGCGGTCCCTTAACTTGAGATGCACGTGCTTTATTTCTCTTTTTTAATCATTTACCTATGATCTTTACCGCGTTTTAACTTCGACGAGGACGAAAAGGTGGCAATCCCAGCCGTGAAACTCTTCCTGTGGGTCGGGTCGTCCCACAAAGTCTAATGAAAACGTGAAAATTGTGCTTGTTCGTAGCTCACCGTCTCATCTTTATTGCTTTTATTAATAGTGTACTAGTTTATTGTCTTTTTATAAGTGGACAGCAGTAATTACATCATAAATAAAAATCTTAAATCTTATTTTATTTATATCATACACACAATTTTCAACCACCTCTCTATCTCACATACATTAATTACACCATAAAAAGTTTTACCGTAATTATTTCAAATAACCTCTTGTTCAAATGAGGAATTTTCTTTATATGATTCTAGTACCATCGCAAACGGTGACACGTACAAAACTCTTTATATCGTTTTTTGTGTTGCTTAAAATGTTATATACTCTTGCGGGTGTCTAAAATTGAAGAATAGAAATACCTAAAATAATATAGAAATAAAGAGAAGCAATAACGATGGATTTAATGATTTTGGTGCTTAGAGTGGTTTCAAACTCATATCTTCCCAGATTTTAAGTTGCCTTTTACATGATTTTCTTGCTTATAAGAAAGAAAATGTATCTTATAATTACATCTCCAAACTGAGGTAAAACTAGTAGTGTCGTTCTTCCCACGGAGCAGAAGGGACTCGGGGCACGGACGGTAGGCGATTTTGGTCATTATCAACTGCGCGTAATTTTCTTTGTACATCGTGTAACTTTTTTTGCACATCGCGTAACTTTAGAGCAAATTTTTGTGGGACCCACACATGACGTGAAAATCGAGTTATAACTTGTAATCTCAGCCGCACAAATTTTTTAGACCAAATCAGGGCCATTAACCGTTCAGGGACGGTTGCTGCCCCATTTCCGAGCAGAAGCCAATTTAAAGTAAACAGTACCCATAATCACTGACATTGCATAAAAAATTAACTCGAATGTTAATGCTCTAACATACGTGCTTTTCGGTGAATCCCAAGAAAGCAGATGAACCATTTTAACATATCTTCAATTATTAGAGAACTTACAGTGTTGAGTTCAAATCCCTTGCATCTGCAAGAGTTTCCTTGGTGAAGAATCAAAGGAGATGAATATCCCACCTGTACAATTAATTAATTATACTTAGGGGAATATATATGAGGGTGATTGCTAGCTGATGCAACGCAGGCGACGCAAGCAAGTGAAGTGTAATCTGGACCGAAGGCATATGGAGAGACTTTGTCAGGGGAAAGCTCCGAATAAGTATTGCAAGCTCAGCATCGATCTGCCCCCCACTCTTAGCCTTATCTGCGTCTTCCTGATCGATCTGGACCCTCTGCAGGCTCTTCGCATCTGATTCCCGGCCCCCATCAGGATCAATTATTAATTGACAATAAGTGAACAGAATAATGTTGGAAGAATGAAACTAATCCTTTCGAGAAACTCCGGAGGAGGAGGTTTGATACCTGATTTTTTATGTTGTTGTATTGGTGATATGACAAAAGATTTTGATTTTCCATTCAGAGAGCATCTACGTACGACGTGTTGATTTGCCTTCTTGTGTTTTAGTTCATCGATATCCTTTAAGTTAACATATGATTCAAATTGACTGACTTTGTCAATTCTGCATGCGTTGGAGGGCAGCATCGGTCATAAAATCTGCTGGACGTTGGAAGACCAGTTCTACTCGTGATTCACGTATTTTCTTTTCTCTTGAAATTGATCCCCTTATTCTTTTCTTCTTGGAAAGTTCCACAGGCCGGATAATCGAATGTGATACCTTTCAAATTTAAATATATAACGTCAAAGCGTGACTAGTTAACCTTCCAACACTACTAATAAATAATTAACTGAAACAATAAATTTTTACCTTTCGATAAGGATTCGGAGTCCTCTACAAGTCAAAATTCTAAATAATAACGAACTCCTTATATATATCCTTGTATATATATATATATCCGATTCATCTTTCAAATCTTCGCCGTTCCAACTTCAAACACACACACACACAAAAGCCTGTACGTTACACAAAAGCTTTGTTCCTCTTGCTAACCCCTATCGCAGGCAGTGTTGAATCATGTCTGTAGTACTTCGCTCCAACGGTGCCGTTCTCTTTCTCAGGTTAGCCTCGGTTTTTCATGCATGCAACCCCTATTTTTATCTTTTATCTTTTTTTTTTTTGTTCTTTTAATTTGTTAACCTTCCGTTTCATACTTTCTTTTCCTCCTCATTCTCTATAATTCTTAATTTCCTCCGTATCTCACGTTATTTTAGTATTTGTATATATATATATGTATATCTGCTCCCTTTGATACTTTTTAACATGTATGCGCGGCAGGAGAGCGTACACTGTTGCGGTAGAGAATGTGAAAGCACAGCCAGCTGCTTCAGTGATGAGGAAGGTGGCGGAGCCAAGCACAAGCAATATTGATGTGGGGAAAGAACTAGTAGTTCAAGGGGCGAAGAGGGAGGTTTTCTGGATGAAAGATCCAAAGACTGGAAATTGGATTCCAGAGAATCACTTCAATGAGGTTGATGCTGCAGAGCTCCGAGAGAAATTTCTGTCCAAGGCGCCAAAACCCTGAAGATTGTAGTACGTAGAGGAATTGCAAGTTCAAACAACCACTACTATCTGTCGAAATATCTTTCTTATTTGCTTTTGTTTCTGTCAGTTATATCGGTTCTCCTTTAAGAATAATGAAAACACACGTTTCAGACGAATGAATTAGGGATTTATTCATGGCTTCATGTTTTTGACATGTATATATACTCCACCATGCAAGGGATAGGGATCCCTTGTTTTTTCCAACAAACAGTTAAGAATGGCTGTTAAAGGGAGATCCACTAAGTAACCACATCCAGGCAATTGCTGATTGGACGGGCACTCAATGGACCTTTTACACTCGCACTAAACTACTACTTACTACACCGTGACTCTTGCTTCTTTCCAACAAACAGTTAAGAATGGCTGTTAAAGAGGGATCCCTTGCTGCTCTCACCCATTTATGGGACGAGGCTTGCGTGTAGTTATCAAGACTAGAAACATGTGCATACATCAATTGTGGTCACCTTTTAAAGTTGCCTTGTTCTATCTCAAATTTTTGAATTGCAATTTCAATTGCTTGCACAGCACCTAACCCTGGCAATAGGGTCGAACGGGCGGAGAGTTTTGACACGTTCCAAAACCGGATTAAAAATATTAGTCCTAAACGAGTTTGGGTTTGGCTCATTCGACTTTGTACAATGAAAGTTCAGGCTCACCTCTTTATGTTTGTTAGGTACCAAGCTTTGTAACGGGCTGGACCCATTTTAAACCAGGCAGATTCTAAGGCGTACTACCTCTATCCGGCACGCAAGACGCTCTATTGCACATATTTTCAATTCAACCGACTGCACTTTCTTTTTAGTAAATTCGGACATAGCAGCACCCAGGTAAGGAGGACCAACTAAACCAAATCCAGTTTAGTTATTGTTATCACCTGCATCGACCATTATTAGTAGCAGTGCATTTAACCTGAGAGCCAATCCCATACCGGAGAAATTACTGCCAGAGATCATATTCACTTCATCTGGCAGTTCCGAAGCTTGAGCGGTAGTGTACTAATCTAAAGTAGGCGGTCCAGGGTAAACATCGCAGCTTCTATTTATCTTATACCATGGGCATGCTTTTTGCGGACTTGCTTGGCCATGAGTATGATGAACGTGAGAACTAATCAGTCAGCCCTTCTTGTCTACAAAGCTCACAGTGCACCTGGACCCAACAAGTAATAACGTCATGGCCAAGCCCTTACGGCATGGCATAATGTAAATAAAATCTGTAAAACTGCTCTAGTGTGCGCAAGCTGAACGATGCTTCAACCAGTTACCAAAGTGTGAAAGATACGTGGAACACAAGATTAACATAAATATTGTGCATTGAACAGAATAGGACGAACCTTTTTGTTGGCTCTGAAATTCTATATCCCAGGTGTTCCAAATCATGAAAATAACCATGTCCCTGCGGCATATACCACCTCGTATCCCACAAAAACCATTCGAGCAACGCACATTTGGTACAAAACTCAGCCAAAATGCCCATGCCCATTAAAAGCATTTATGAGTTTCATGGAAAAGAAAGAGAAACGAACCAAATCCACAAGTGTAATACCTTAACAAAAATATCCCAAAACATGGTTACAAGTATAGTTGGATGAGTTCATCACTGACTACAGAGGGTGTTAAGACACCCAAATCAGTGAAAAGTAAGGTCAGATACTGAGGTGGCGTATAGTCTCGGGCAGATGTTTCGACTTCAACCTTGGAAGGTATGGGTACTCCAAAATCAATAGGACGTAAAGCAGGAACCATGTCCTTTTGATCCAGCGGATAAAGACGAGCAAACTGCAATAATAGAGATCAACAAAACCTAATTGCTTTAGCTATAAACTGCAACAAATAATTGAAATTGAAAATTTTCATTCATCAATCAGAAGCTTGCAAAAACACGGAGTGAGTGTACCCAAAGACAGAGCAGTAACTCAATGTCATGTTCATATGAGCTCGATTTCAAGTCAAACTTTAGGGCCCGGGGGGGGGGGGGAAGGATTTTTATGTACCTTGTAGCTTTCAGCAGCAACATAAACTGGTTTACTCATGCTCTTAGCAACCAATGCAATTTGGTATGTCCCCATCATGTTAATTATTCCTCCACTCTCAACAACTCCATCTGCTCCAACAAAAACCATGTCAACTTCATCCATGCTATATGCCACAGCAGAGTCTATCAATAGCTTCACGGGAACGTCAAGCTTGGCTAGCTCATTGGACAATCGCAACCCAGTTCTATCTGGCCTTCCCTCTGCATATCAGAGAATACTAACTTACAAAGCTTTACTTGCTTGAAATTAAGCTTAGTATCACATCAAAGAAAAAAAAAACCAAGAATTGATCAGCATCAACTACAAAGATGAAGCCAAATGTTTGCAAATCTTAGTATCTTCAATCTACAGTATGCAAAAATGATGCTGATACTCTGTGAAGAAAAATACATGATCTAGTTTTGATGCATTTATCAATTGGAGATCGCCTTTACACAATCATGCATCATCTTGATGCCCTTCTGTGCACCATGAAAAGAAAGATGTAGGAAATGCTAATCAGTGAAGGCAGATTTGGTCCTACAGGTAACAGGTAATCGTACCCTAGAAGCAAGATGTACGAATGCGTACCTGTGCAGAAAATGCGAAACAGTTTCCTGTTTTGTGCAGCCGTTCTCAAGACTTCCAACACCACACGGGAAAAGCCATGCACCAATATAGTACAACCATCAAAAATGAAATCCTGACTAAGCATCGCAATTATTCTCCTAGCCTGTATGATGAGCTTAATTAACAACTCTTTCCGCATGAAATGCAAAAATTACATAGTCAATAGTGAAGTGATGGAAGATTGAATCACTAATATAAATTCAATAATTAGCCCAAGCACCTTGTAAGAAATCTCTCCAAACTTCTCTGCACGTTCAAGAAGGCGAGACTTAGCTGAATTGAAATCCTCATACTCCAGAGCTGAAGTTCTTGTCACATACCGCATGAACAGATCACAGCCAGCTGTCAGAGATATCGAGGTTGTATCCCATGACTGGAGGAAAGAGAGAACGGTTCGTAGAACATTAGATTTTTCTCATCGATTGTTTTAGTCATTCATTTCTATGGTTGACAGAAATCAGGGGAAAAAAAAGGTACATATCTCATTTCCTTAATGCATGGCTCTCCTCTCCTTCCAACTACCTTGTCACGTTTAGGCAATTCCATTTTGCATAAACAACTAAAACTAGAGCAATCTATCACGTTACTTCCAAACTTCGCCAGACTTATAACACAAGGAGCAAAGTTCAATTGGTAGCAAAATCAAGAAATCGAACTTGAGAAACAGACGAAGTTAAAGAAATGCTCCAATAAGTAGCTCAAGCCAACCTCATTAGATAAACCAGGCCCGGTCATGGCCATGCTGATAAAGAACAGGTTTGATAGACGGTAGAATTAAAAACAAACGTCCAGTAAAATCTCAGGCTCAAGCCTATTACTGAGTTTCACCGGGGTAAGGTAAGAAGAAAGCAGCATTACAATCGACAATCGTCAAACAAAATTGCAGAAAGAATTTTTTTATCAAACCTGAATACGAGCCACCCCCAACCCCACTCCTCCTCGTCAACTCTAAATCAAGCAAAATGGAAGTAAACAATTCCAACAAAGAGAGTAAAAATGAGTTACTTTGAGGGAATCAGAGGCTTTCTTGAGCTCAATTTCCAGCTCCATCATAGTATTCGCCTCGCTGGACCGAATAACGGACGCCAAGGCCCTAATGGCCGCCACAGCCTCAGCCAATTCAGGCTGTTTCCGCCAATTATTGAACTCATCAATCACGCTAAAGGCCTTGGGCGACTCGCCCGACTTCAAAGACAAAGAGTCGTCAGAAACGGCTTCGTCGGCTTGGCGGCCAACGGCAGCTTGAGCTTGTGCGAGCCAGTCGCTGGTAACGACGCCGTGATGAGCCGCTCGCGTCTGATAATAAGCAGAAATTTTAGGGATTTGCTGTGGGGTTTCTGCCATAGACAGCGGGGGGGCAGTTGGAGAGAGGAGACGGCTCTCAGGCTTGGCAACGCCGTCGTTTTGTTGTTGGTCGAGAATGAAAGAAGCGGATCGATACCACATTTATGAGATGCGAGCACTCTATTTTCCTTTTATTGTAAATCAGTCCACCGCTTTGTTTGCCCTTTCCTTTTTTGTTTCGGCCGTGTGTAATTTAAGAGGGAATAGAATCGAATGAGAACGAAAGCTTAATCTGCGAAGATCGCCGGTGCGGCTGTGGATGATTTTTCCGGTGATCAAGAGCCTTACAAAGACGGGGGGTCGAATATTTTCTAAATCGAAATTGTACCACCACACTACTAATCTCGCTCGATTAGGCGTTAATCAGTGATTGGGATTCCACTTTTGGACTAGGGTGCGCCCTGGGAGTCGGACATTGATTTGAAAAATGCGCTTTTTATATATATATATACTAGAGAGGACAGCCCGCGCGGCGCGCGAAAATTTGATGCTTGTGATTCAAGATAATTAATAATTATTATTTAATATTTTGTAGTATAGGAACTGAAGTATGATGATTTTATCATGTGATTTTAATAAAAAAATCATAAGTTATATAGTGAGTCAATAAAAATATTGTGCAATGAGATATCCTTATCGTTATACTATATAAGAATCAGTTGTGATCAAATGTTATATTTGAATTTCAACTGCAAAGATAAGAATAGTTTGAAAATGTAAGAATGTTTGAAGTGCAATTAAAAAGTATCGAAAGGTCTCTTCTAAAACTTATTCAAGATGATAAAAACATTTTAAAATATCAATTGGACCCTTCATCTCTTGAATCTAAATATGTTCGTGAAAAATCCCTCAAGCAATGCTTATGATTTGTCTCTCGACTTAAGCTCAATCTGAATTATCAAACCAAATTTATCCATCAATCACTTTGCGTCCAATCTAATCTAAAATAATTTTATTTTTAACTAACTATTTATATAATTTGGTGGGCATAATACGACTTAATCACATGTTTCTTACAGAGATAATAATGCCCAAAAATGATAAATAGATAAGAAACTTAAGTGGTTTTTTTCAAAATTTTGTAGAAACAATTCAGATTTGGTATTTTTTGCTATGGGCATTTCTTTATAATCTCATAAATAAGTTCAAATCTACATAATTGTTAAAGATCTGAATTGAAACTATCTTGATTATAAAAAATTGGTGCAAATAATATTTTCTAAAATTGAAATTGTAGAAAATGGTAACTAAAATCAGAAGAAATTCCTCATATGAATTCGAATTGCAAACTATAGGTAGAAACTGTTTAATGATATTTTCCAATGTTTACTTATATAAGTATCTAATATAACATCTCTACTTAATTGACTCGTTTGAACTATGGATAATAATTGTTTCAATTAAATCAAGAAATATTATTTATCATTGTACAACATACAATTATGAGTAAATGAATTAATACAATGCAATTAAGATGGTGCTGTAACTAAAGCATTTAAACTCATCAAGTTCCACTACATATTCTTTTAGATAGCATAAAAAGTAAATTTTTTGTATTTGAAACTATATAAACAGCAGAATACAAGAACAAGATCATAACATGGAAAGCATATAGAGTGCAAATGACATCTTAGTACTATGTAGCATGATTATTTTTCTTTTTTAGTTTCAATGAAGTACAAAATTCTAAGTTAATAAATTTTACAATCATAAAATTTCCAATTAAAATAAACATAAGCTGAATTCCAAATCATATTACATGAAAAAATAATTACTTGAACCATAACTGCATGAATGTAATTAACAGATCCCTGGAGTCAAGAACAATAGGAGAATTTATGAGAAACAAGGTTATTTAACTTAAATAGATAGATAATACCTTGGCCGAGGAGTAGAAGATGATAAAATTACTTTTTTAATTATTTTAGAAAGTGACAACATTATCTCATATTGTACTTTGATCAGAAAAAAAATCTCTGGGATCTACTAAGGAAATTAATATAATTAGTCAATTTTTGGAATTAGAAGTATCAAAAAATAAACTATATGGAGTTCTTGAATAAACCAATTATCAGAAAAAAAAACTACAATCAAAGAAGACAAACCTAAAGAATTTACCTCAATTTAAAGAAAAAACTACGCATTCCACCAAATATTTAATAGTCATAATAAAATCAAAGGGGTGAAACTGAAAAAGAAGAAAGGGTATCGGCTAAACATGGGGACATAAATATGATAATGATTGTTCAAATAATAATTAAGTTAATTAATTGTAATTAAAATCTAATTATGTAAACATCCAATTAATTCCTTAAAGGTTTCAGGAAATTGGAAAGCTTGGATGTTAGTATAATAAATGATTAAAAGGGCTTTTATGTGATTCCATTAAAACACAAGCTTAATTTAGTTGTACTTGATACTCAACTTGACACCAAACATTGAAACATACCAAACCTGCCCCTAACCTTAAATGTTTGAAAGGTTATATAAGTAATTATAGTGAAATTAATGGTATAATGACTTGTACTCAATGTTCCAATTACACTTCAAACACTCTTACATTTCCAAAATAGCCCCACCTTTGCGGTTGAAATCTAAAAACCTTTTTTGTCCTAAATTCGTTCTTGTATAGTATAAGGATATTTTTAACTTTATATTGACAAACGTTTTTTTGTTTTTCGAACCCCTAAAAAAAATTTTTTCCAAATGCTTTTCGAGCAGGTGGGTCCATAAAATGGACTAGAGAAAAGCGATCATATATTTGAAACAACCGATCGAACCAATTTAATTTGGATTTTAATTTATGATAAAATCAATTTATATTAAAACTCGAATATTTTAGCACCCACCTCTTTGCTATCCTTAGAGAAACGGCAAAATAAAGCAATTGAGAGACCAAAACAAAAAAAAAATCATGATCAATTGTCCAATAGACTTCTATGCATGTGTATATGAAAGTGTACCAACTATACTACAGGAGTATGAAATGATTGAGCGAGACAGAGAGTTTGTCTAACAAGTACATTCACACGTAAACTTTTTTAATTAATTTTTTTTGGTAGGTAAAAAATTCTAAATTAAAATTTTTTTACTTATAATTTCTTTTATTTTACCACTCAATCTAACCCTTCCCTTCACTAACTAGGTTTAGATCTTAACGTTGTGAAAAAATAGAATTGAATCATGAAAATGTTTAAATGTAAGGCAAGCAATTAAACTGTGCATTCAAGTAATAAATAAAATATAGAGATAATTTCAAAAAATTCCCTTGAAGTTTTTTCTAATCACACCTAACACCTCTTAAGTTTCTAAAATCACACTTAACGCCCTTAAAATGACAACTTTTGTAATATGTCAGCCTTTTTAAGTAAAAATAATATTAAAAAATATATATAGTAGAGGGACTATAGTATTCTTCCAATTTTGCCTATTTACAAGTTGATTTTTGAATTTTAGAAGATGAATCCGTTTGGATTAGCTGTTTTTGGGGTTATTTTTCAAAAACAGCACTGTAGCATTTCGTTTTTCAAATATTCGTTTTTCAAATACAAGTCCGTTTGGATTAGTTGTTTTTGGGGTTATTTTTCAAAAATTATATAAAAAACTTTTACTGTTGATGTTTTATGGATTATTTTTAGATGTATTTTTAAAACATATTTTCGAGTATTTTTATAATTTTATAACAATATATAATTATACATTTATAAATATTTATAAATAAATAAATTTATATAAATATATATAAATGTATTATATTATATATAATACATAATATAAATATATTTATAAATGTATAAATTATAAATGAATATTAAATAAATGTATAAATGTATAAATTATAATTTTCATATTTTTATATTTATATACATTTATGCATTTATAATACATTTATTAATATTTATAAATAAAAATATTCATATATTTCTATATAAATGTATTATATTATATATAATACATAATATAAATGTATATTATAAATATACATAAATATATATATTATGTTTAAATGTACATTTATATAAATGTTCAATATATATAATATATATTATGTATATATTAAATATATATAATATATAACATTTATATAAATGTATAATAACATATTTATAATATATATAATTTATATAATATATAATATTTATATAAATATATAAAAATATATTTTATATAAAGTAAAATATTTATAATATGTATAAATAAATATATTTAAATTAATATAATATATATATATCCTATACATAATTGAAATATATAAATTGAAATAAACATATTAAATATGTATTTGGAGTTGTTTTTGATATATTGTTTGGATATTGGTGTTTTTGGAGTTGTTTTTGAAATACACATTTACTGTAGCATTTGGATTGTGAAAAACAGTTTTTCAAAAACAGGCCCAAAAACAAGAATCCAAACGGACCCGAAAATAAAAACAAATATGACTGCAGTATTTACATAGAAATTGAGGGGGTGTAAGTACAATAACTGTTGAATTGTATAATTTTTGTTAATTCATATGATTGTTACAACATCTATGCCAAAGTTTTGGATAGAAAGGAAATAAAATTTTTTGAATACTATTTGTTAACCAATTTTTCAAAAATTTTGTTTTTGATATTTGAACACCATTATAGGTATATTTAATATGTACTTTTTTCATGATTTCAACTATACGCCAGCCTTGTTCTTCATCAAATGAACGATTTTAACATATTTTTTCCTCACTTCTTACTAATTAAACTAGATAACAAGATAAAATCGTAGTTAAAGAAAGATAAATTTTTTATGTTTTGATTGTCTAAGTGCATTTTCTTTTATAAAATCGAACATAAATGTTCTTTCTTTTTTCTTGACCTTTCCCACATAAGATGAAAAAGGCATAAAAAAAATCAACTTGTTTTTATTTTCATATTCTAGTTTTCAAAAATCAACTTACAAAATGGCAAACGTGGAAGAATATTATAGTGTCTATCCTAAATACATTTTTTAATACTATTTTTACCTAAAAGGGTTCATATGTTACAAAAGTTGTCATTCTAAGGGTGCTAAGTGTGATTTCAGAAACTTTAGGGGTGCTAAGTGTGATTAGGAAAAATCTCAAGGGAAGTTTCTGAAATTGTCCCTCAAAATATAAGTTTAAGGGAGCGTTTAATAAAACTAAAAACTGAAATGTATAGTTAGAAAATTGAAAATTAACTACTAAAATCTTTAGGCTTTGTATGATTTAGATATTTTTTTAAAAAACTTTACTGTAGCATATATGTAAAAAACTTTCACTGTAAATTGTCTGTTTTGAATTAGTTGTTTTTAAAGATGTATTCTTGAAAAATTTTAAATTTGAAATTTTATTAAAGCATTAAAAAAAAATTGTTGTTTTTTACCACAATCACCCGTCACTACCAACTCTATCTCTCTTTCCTTTCCTTCCTCCTCTCATTTTCTTCTCTTATTTTTCCTCCATCTTTCTTTTTCTCCGTCTTGCCCTAATTTGGTCATGAACCAGGGGGAAAGAGAGAGAAGGGGGTTGTGAGAGAGGGACGGGAATGGGAGGATGAGGGAAAAGGGAGGACGAAGGAAAGAAAAAGAGAGGAGAGAAAGAAAAGATGAGCGATAGGAGTGGTAGAGATGACGAAAAGAGGAAAGAATAGGTGATGACAATGGTAGGTGAAAGAATAAAAGATGATAGAATTTATTTATTTTTAATATGTATATGAATATGAAGTGGGAGGGAGGAATGCGAAAGAGTGTGTGTGCGTATGTGTATTTAGGAGAAAGAGAGAGGGTGTGTATGTGTATTTAGGAGAAAGAGAGTGGGTGTGCATTTGTGAGAGAGATATGTATACATGTTCGAAAGTGTATATGAAATAATTTTTCATATAAATATATCATACTAATTTGACAATTCAACCAATTAAATGATACACTTTTAGTTAAAATTTCGTATACATGTTAAGTCCTTCTTAATAATTAAAACACAAGCAAACTATTATTGTGTTTGGATATGAGATTATTTAAAATAATTACTGTAGTACTTTTTTTTCCCTATATGATGTATATGAAATAAAAAGAATGATTAAAAAGATAAAAAAAATGTATTAAAAAATATATTTATAATGCAAACAAATAATTTTTGAACAAATAATTCATATCCAAACACTCTCTGTATATCAGCGAACAAGTTTAAGTTGAACCTTAAGGGGATGATCGGCTTTAAAAAAAATCAAAATAAAAAACGTTTGTCAAGAAATTTTAAAGTTGTTGACTCCACTATTTAATCCATTTTTCTTCACTTTTTTGTTTTTTAGTCTGTCAACAAACCCTATGGCTTGCCTTCGGGAGCATTTGACTTTCTTGCGTGTTGAACAAGGTTCGCTCAGTGACGTAGGCTTGTATCCCAAATAGCCCAACCACAGCTATCAGGACGCGTTGACCGATGAATGAGTTAGCAAAAGAAGTACTCCCACAAATGCGGTACCCCACCAGCCCCCGTTACGCCCCACCAAGCAAGGGGGGAAAAAAATGGAAAGAGAGAGAAAACGACGTAGTAGTGAGTTGAAATTGACGGGAGAGGCTTGCACTGCGTCAGCTGCATGTGCATGAGTGAGTTAATGAATTCTCCGTGTTAGATTGTATTGGTTCCGTTATCAAACGGATTTTGCCTAGTTATACAATTAGTATCATTATTGTTATACAATTACTGCTACCATTTAGCGAACAGCTCACCGTGGGCTGGGCGAACAAGTCAGAGTAGAAGATCATACTTAAGATTAGTCGGTCATTTTCGATTTGGGTCGCGTCCCCACAATTTATTTCTTTATTCATTGTGATATATATAATTATATCCGCTTCCCCATTTTCCCCCCCTATTTTTAATTTCTCGACTGCAATTTCTCAATTGCACGGGAGAGGAGAAAAAAAATTCAAGGATATTTATTTTATTTATGTAAAGTTGTTTTTTTTTTTTGGCTTAATTCTGGGGATTTCTTATTTATGTGTTCCTAAGAGGTGGACACAGGGTGTTTTCTTCTTGACCCGAATTCATCATCATCAATCCCGCGGATGTCTCTCGGATTCTATCGAGAAAATCGCGTTCTACTCGATTGATTATAATCAAAGGTTCGGTGTGTACTGAGATTTTTTCTTTTTTTTTTTTCAAATAGAAATGAAATTTTCGAATAGATTTGTTACCGGTTTCTGCTCGATTCAAATGTAAATGGTGAAGTTGAGGTCGCTTTCAGAATTTATTCGCTCATCGATTTTGGGCTTTGGGCTGAGGAGTTTTAAAATTGGGGTTCACTTGTGGAATTTGAATGGCGATCAGTATACTATTGGCCATGATAGATAGTTATGCTATGTGAGTTTTTCCTTTTTTCCACTGTTTTGGGGCCTGGAAAGGGGGGTTGATATTATTTGCAATTTCGAAAGGCGGAATAAGAGTCTTAAGCCCTTTCCTTTTTTTTTTTCGGGTGGCAATTGGTTTTATTCGTGGAGGCTGCGCTGGGTTGTGGGGAAGGTTGTTCACTAATTGGGTTTCTGATTCTTGTTATTTGATTTGTTCTGGTAATTGAAGCGATGGAGAATGTGTACATATTTCTCTTAAGAATTAGCTGCTTTCCCATTTATTCCAACTTCAAGGGGTTGCTTGGTGATTAGCCCTTGTTTGGATTTGGCATTTGCTTGGCGTCTTATCTTGTTTTGTTTTGGGTTTTTGACACATGAGAGCAGTAAGCAAATGAGCCTATCACAATGGTGAAAGGAAAAGGAGGGTTGCATAGTCGATGGATGCTGCGGATAACCCATTTCCGGCTCTAGTTGGAAAGCTGAAGTCGTGGATCCGGCGGAGTGAGCCGGCTAATGTGTCCAGGGACTTTTGGATGCCCGATCAGAGTTGTAGGGTATGCTACGAGTGTGACTCCCAATTTACATTGTTTAACCGAAGGCACCATTGCCGACATTGTGGCCGGGTATTCTGTGCCAAGTGTACATCTAATTGGATTCCTGCATCATCTCTTGGACCAAGGACTCCCAGTGAAGAGTCAGAAACGATCAGGGTATGTAATTTCTGTTTCAAGCAATGGCAGCAAGGCATAGCTGCTGGTGTTGATAATGGGATTCAGTTTCCCAGTCTGGATCTCAGTGCTTCGCCATCGACAACCAGTTTCATTAGCAGCAAATCTAGTGGAACCATTAACAGTAGTAGCATTACTCTTGCATCAATGCCACACTCTGATGGGGTTAGCCCTCATCAGTCTGCAGCGATGGAAACTGCCTTAGAAAGGCAACCTGTCGGAGAATCAAGAACATGCAATGGTCATGATTCGGAGACAGCTCATAGAGATCAGTCTTCTAATCAATTCGGGTATAGCATTATCAGGTTGATTTCTTTTACATAATTTTGGTTGCTTGTTCAGAGTCATATTTTTTGTTCTGAAGTTGCCAAGTAAGTGAATGAGTGTGGTATATTCTTTGAACCGCGGCATAATCAAGTATCCTGGTACCTGAAATCATTGCAGGCAATTTCCTTGATATGCTTGATTTTTGGCATCAGGCGCATTTTTCAGTGAGGACACTTTCCTTAAATTAAGTGAAAGGCATTCTAGTACAGATGCCATGTCATTTAGGTTCACCATGAGCTTGTGCCAACTCAATGGCCTGGTTTATGGCTGCTCCATGGATATTGCACATGGCTGACTTGATAACTTTTTTCTTTTCACCTTTTCAATTCAGTGAGTTGATATTATAATGTTGCAGCTACTTAATTGTTGCTTATGTTTTCTGGGTCCAGGAATAGTGATGATGAAGATGAATTTGGAGTTTACCGGTTAGATTCCAAAACGAGGCATTTTCCTCATCTTAATGGTTACTATGGTCACATGCAGTTTGATGAGATTGACAATGAATATGAATCACGTAAAGTGCATCCTGATGCTGAGGCTGTTGATTCAAAAAGCATTAGTAGCTTGACATTACAAAATAGTTTAGATTTTCATTCCCAGGCTTCTGAAGAAGTCCAACAGATTACCCAAAAAGAAGGTGGACATGATGGTGGTGATGAATGTGAAGCGCCTTCATCTTTAATTGCAGCAGAAGATGTTGATGCTGAACCGGTGGACTTTGAGAACAATGGAGTTCTATGGCTTCCACCTGAACCTGAAGATGAAGAAGATGACCGTGAAGTGCATCTGTTTGATGATGACGATGACGGGGATGCTGCTGGAGAGTGGGGCTATCTACGTGCTTCAGGCAGTTTTGGAAGTGGGGAATTCCGAAGTAGGGAAAAGTCAAATGAGGAGCACAGGAGGGCCATGAAGAATGTAGTTGATGGACATTTTAGGGCTTTAGTTGCTCAGCTTTTGCAGGTTGAGAATCTCTTTGTAGGTGATGAAGACGACAAAGAGAGTTGGTTAGAAATAATTACATCTCTGTCCTGGGAGGCTGCTTCAATGTTAAAGCCTGATACGAGTAAGGGTGGGGGAATGGACCCAGGAGGATATGTGAAAGTAAAATGTATAGCTTCTGGGCGTCGTAGTGAGAGGTAAGGTCTTTGAACTTCCAAGTAATTATTTCCGCATTGTGCTATTCAGCTTAGGCACTTGGAAAGTTTTGATGGAGTTGGTGTGCAGCCTAAGTTTTGTTGTCTTACATTACTTTTCAGAAGTGTTTTTTAGAGCTCTGTTAAGATACTTGATTAAGTTACATGTGAATGGTATAGACTACTAAATTGTACTTAAAACAACCTCAGTCTTGATGCCTGTCACTGGTGCTTTCATCATTTAGTTAAGTATAATTTAAACTGATCTTTGAGCTTCTGCCTCTCTCTGAGTTGTTTAGCAGATTAAGAAAGCGCTCATGCTATCATTTTAAATTCCTCATTTGTTTGAAGACTTTCTTTTCAGTATGGTGGTGAAAGGGGTTGTTTGTAAGAAGAATGTTGCTCACAGAAGGATGATATCAAAGATAGAGAAACCTCGCATACTAATCCTCGGAGGAGCACTTGAATACCAGAGGGTTTCTAATCTCTTGTCAAGTTTTGATACACTGTTGCAGCAGGTTAGTTCTATAACCACCATTCTCGTGTTGCAAGTCAGAGACGGACTGTCTATTACATTGTTAGCATAATGTGATCTTTTCTCCATGAGAATTCTTATATCCTGGAGGTTTCATTCTTAAGGAATTGTACCCTTTTCCAGGAAATGGATCATCTGAAGATGGCTGTAGCAAAAATTGATTCCCACAATCCTGATGTTCTCCTGGTGGAGAAATCTGTTTCTCGTTATGCACAAGAGTATCTTCTTGCAAAGGACATATCACTTGTTTTAAATGTCAAAAGACCACTTCTAGAGCGCATAGCTCGCTGCACAGGTTGTCAGATTGTACCTTCAATCGACCATCTCTCATCTCAAAATTTGGGATACTGTGACATGTTCCATGTTAAGAGGTTTCTAGAAGAGCATGGCACAGCTGGACAGAGTGGAAAAAAGCTGGTAAAAACATTGATGTATTTTGAAGGATGTCCAAAGCCACTTGGTTGCACTGTAAGTAATTACACTAATTTAAGATTGGTGCATGTCTAGATGGATGGGTTTGTGAAGGTCTTTCACTTAATTTTAGATAGATTCTGATAAAAGTCTCGGATACTGATTTTCTTCCTTGACTTTGATGACTTGAAAATTTGTCAGATTCCATGTGGCTATAAATTAATATTATCCTCCTACTTCAGCCTGCAGAATTTCAATTTCGGGTCTCCAGTTTCTTTGAAGTGTTCAAGTTTGAATTGATATTATACTTATTGGACTTCTTTGAAATTAGTTGATATGTTGCCATGGATGTAAATACTTGCTTGATTTCTTTGAAATTAGTTGATATGTTGCCATGGATGTAAATACTTGCTTGATTTTGTCTCTTTCAGGTACTACTTCGAGGTGCCAATGGCGATGAATTGAAAAAGGTAAAACATGTTGTGCAGTATGGAGTTTTCGCAGCTTATCACCTGGCCTTGGAAACATCTTTTCTTGCTGATGAAGGAGCCTCTCTGCCAGAGCTACCATTGCATTCTCCAATTACTGTGGCACTTCCAGATAAACCATCTACCATTGAGAGATCCATCTCAACAATACCTGGTTTTACTGCCCCGAGTAATGAACATACTATTGGACATCATTCTGAAGTTGAACCGCAAAGGTCAATTAGCCTGCCCATTCCAGAACAGTTCAAGGCCACAAGTTTGTTTGGTCATGAGATGAATTCTCCGAATTGCTCTAGCTCAAATGCTGCTGTTGTGTCTCATTCCATAAAGCAGACTGTCACATCTGCTGGGCAGATTCTTTCAAAAACTTCATCATGTGAGCCCTCTCCTTGTCTTTCTTTGGAGGACAAGATTACGGGGAATTTGACTGAGTCTACTGGTGTAAAAGCATCTATGGCCAATGACATTCAGCATGCTTCAGGAGATCCTATCATTCCTAATGGTTTTATGCCTTCAATACCACCGGTTATAGGCGTTGTGGCCGATGATGTGCTGAATGATTGTGATGGACTTGATAGAACTCAAAATAATCTAGATCTGTCTTCATCGCAGCTAAATATAAAGCAAGTTCTTGAGGAACCAGTTTCTTCAAAGGAAGAGTTTCCTCCTTCCCCTTCTGACCACCAAAGCATTTTGGTTACCTTATCATCTAGATGTGTCTGGAAAGGGACTGTTTGTGAAAGGTCCCATCTCTTTCGGATCAAGTACTATGGAAATTTTGACAAACCATTGGGACGATTTTTACGAGATCATTTATTTGATCATGTACTAATATCTATCTTAAGCCTTGCTAAAAACCAATGCATGCTGGTGTTTTAATTTTCTGATTGGAATGCCTTGGATATTTTACTGTGACTAAGGCTCTTTTCTTTTCTTTTCTTTTCTTTTTAGAGTTACAGATGCCGCTCATGTGAGATGCCTTCAGAAGCGCATGTTCAGTGTTATACCCATCGACAAGGCACCCTTACAATTGCTGTGAAGAAGCTGCCAGAGTTTCTTTTACCAGGTGAAAAGGAAGGAAAGATTTGGATGTGGCACAGGTGCCTTAAGTGTCCACGAACCAATGGTTTCCCTCCTGCAACTCGAAGAGTAGTGATGTCTGATGCTGCTTGGGGATTGTCTTTTGGAAAGTTTCTTGAGCTCAGTTTTTCAAACCATGCAGCTGCTAGCAGGGTAGCAAGCTGTGGCCACTCTTTACACAGAGACTGTTTGCGATTTTATGGGTAAAAAATTCATTCCTTTTGTTGTCATTGTTTTCAAGGAGCTACAATGTTTTTTTGACCCTTCCTGCAAAGCTTAATATTCAAGTATGGTGGGCCATAAAATTTTATCTATTATATATTCCTGATGAAGTTGAAATAAAATTTAGGCAGTGCATGCACTTGGTTCTATGAGCACCTATCTCATTAGTAAAAATCTAGGCTATTCATTTGTTTGAAAATTTTTGGACAACTTGTGTCTTTTCATGCAATGTTCCTGAAATACCTGCTAGATGAACTTTTTTTGTGTGATGGGTAGAGTATTTGTCTTCTGCTTTCCTTTGAATTCCTTGATGATGGTCATGGGTTTTCAGATTTGGGCAAATGGTTGCTTGTTTCCGTTATGCATCAATTGATGTTCACTCAGTCTATCTTCCTCCTCCAAAACTTGATTTCAACTTCGAGAATCAAGAATGGGTACAACAAGAACTGAATGAGGTACAAATGCATGCTTTTGGGTATTTTAGTATCCCAAATTGATCTATCTTCACTGGCTGTAATTGAACAAATTTTGGTCAGGTGGTTGGCTGGGCTGAGCTTTTGTTTTCTGAGGTATTAAATGCTCTCCGTCTTTTGGTGGAGAAAAATTTTGGTCCAGGCTTGCCAAGCAGTGGCAAAAAAGCACCAGAATCAAGGCATCAAATGGCAGATTTAGAAGCAATGTTGCAGAAGGAAAAGGTGGAATTTGAGGTAAGCACTCATTTTTCATTCTTATATTTAGCCTTTTCTTTTCTTTCTTGCTGAAGTATGTTTGCTTCTCGAAGAAGCAAAGACTTTTTCTGCACTCATGGATTCAGTCAGCAATGATGACTCATGGTTAGATGCATCCATCTTGTGTTCTGCTTCTTATTTTCTCTTTGCAATGTTGATTGGGATGTAAATTTCCTCTTATTGGCTAGTCTATTTTGACTTTGTTGTTCATTTACTTCAGTTTGGTTAAAAAAAATGTTAAATTTTACACGTGGGGCACAATATCAACTAGGTGAAAAGGATAATCTTCTTCATTAGATTTGAAGAAGTTTTGTCATCTGATGCATTAAATTGTATTTTTTTCACAAATTGATAGAGCTTAGAGCCTTGTTGTTTGAACATTACCGAATACTGTCACTTTGACTATGTTCTTCACTTTAGAACATCTATTTAATATTTGCTTCTATAACAGACTTTATGTCTTTTCAGGATGCCCTTAATAAAATTCTGAATAAGGAGGCTAGGAAGGGCCAACCCGCGGTTGATATTCTTGAAATCAATCGATTGCGTAGACAACTACTCTTTCAATCTTATATGTGGGACCACAGGCTGATATATGTAGCCAGTTCAGATAACATTTGTCAGCGTGAGATGGCAGTTGCCAATTCAGCTCCTGATGTGAGACCCAATGAGGAGATATGTGATTTAAATGTTTCTGTTAGACCAGGCCAGGGTTTCGACAGTTCTAATTTGGCTTCTCCTGATGTAAATCTAGATGAAAGTCATCATCATGGGGTTAGCGGTGGTGAGGATCCTCCTGAATTTATTTGTGATCGTGGAGTTGGTGGCTTGAAAAATCCTGCTGTACTTGTTCATCAGGAAACTGACGGTTCAAATCCTAATAGTGTAAAAGGAAATCTGTCATTTCCTTCTAGCGTGACAGACATTCGTGATGAATCCGTTTCTTTAGAGTCTAATGTAAGTGTTCATGGCGTCCTATCTGATGGGCAATTTCCAGTTATGGTGAGTCTGTCAGAGACACTTGATGCTGCTTGGACTGGTGAAACTAATCCTGGTCTGGGGTTATCAATGGATGATATGCATAAAGTTTCTGATACAGCTTCATTGGATTCATCGACTACTGGAGGAGCTGCAGAAATGTTGGACACAGAGGGCCATGGTGAGGAACTGACTGGCGCTAAAATTGTGCCATCTCCTTTTTTGTCCTCCAGAGTTTCTGATAACGTGGAAGATACTGTCAGCTGGCTAGGTCTTCCCTTCATAAGCTTCTATCGCTCATTGAATAAAAACTTTTTAGGTAATAATCAGAAATTGGACACGCTGTCTGAGTATAATCCTGTCTATATCTCCTCATTCAGACAGTTGGAACTTCAAGGTGGGGCCAGGTTGCTCTTACCTGTTGGGTTTAATGACACAGTGGTTCCAGTGTATGATGATGAGCCTACGAGTGTTATAGCTTATGCCCTGGCTTCCCCCGATTATTTGGTCCAACTGTCTGATGATCTTGAGAGACTGAAGGACATGGCAGACTTAACATCATCTCTGCTGTCCTTTGACTCGGGGAGTTTTCAATCTTTTCACTCGATGGACGAAATAGCCTTGGAACCTTATAGAAGTCTTGGTTCTGCAGATGAAAGTATCTTATCCATGTCCAGTACTCGTAGCTCCTCGGTGTTGGATCCTTTTTCTTACACAAAAGCTATGCACGCCAGAGTGTCTTTGACAGATGATGGGCCCCTTGGGAAGGTGAAATATACTGTGACCTGTTACTACGCTAAGCGTTTTGAAGCTTTGAGGAGGATTTGTTGCCCATCTGAGATTGACTTCATAAGATCTCTTAGCCGCTGTAAGAAATGGGGAGCCCAGGGTGGCAAGAGTAATGTCTTTTTTGCCAAAACCTTGGATGATAGGTTTATTATTAAACAAGTCACTAAGACTGAGCTGGAATCTTTCATAAAGTTTGCTCCTGGATATTTCAAGTATCTTTCTGAATCTATTGGTTCAGGAAGCCCTACATGTCTGGCAAAGATACTTGGGATTTATCAGGTACTTCTATGGACTGAATTTGAGTTGGTAGAAGTTGGAGTTTAATAAATTACGAATGAAAGTAAATTTGGAATTTAAAGGCTTATTTTTAAACTCTTACAGTGATCGTAGTAATAGTATGGTTTGCAGAAAGCAACCTTCACATAGGTAGGCATCAGAATGCTTGCAAGATGCTAGTTTTACTTACGTCTGTCCATTTTATGAAATAAAACCCTCATCTGGTGTGTGGTAAGGATTGGTTTTACCACTAGGCCAATATCCTTGGAATTCTAGTTTGATGTCCAGTGCTTTCTTAAACTAGGCCAAGATCCATGGATTGTACTTTGACTTCTATCACTTTCTTATACTCTGCTAGAAAATAAATGTTGTAATTGGATATCACTTGTAGGTTCTTGTCCTTTCCCCTCATTTTTGGTTCGGCGAAGCATTTTTCTGAACCCCCGATAATTGTTATTTTTGCCTTCTTGGAACTTATTATATTGTCATTTCCTTGATTGCTGAAGGTTACGTCGAAGCATGTTAAGGGGGGAAAGGAATCAAAGAGGGATGTTCTTGTTATGGAGAACCTTCTTTTTGGGAGAAACTTGACCCGGCTTTATGATCTAAAAGGATCTTCCAGATCTCGATATAATCCGGATTCCAGTGGAAGTAACAAGGTTTTGCTGGATCAGAACTTGATTGAAGCAATGCCAACTTCTCCTATATTTGTTGGAAACAAGGCAAAGAGGTTGCTTGAAAGAGCAGTTTGGAATGATACTGCATTCCTTGCAGTAAGTTTCCAACTTTCTCTAACGGCTTAGTCAGTAAACGTGTAACATGTCAGACATATGACATATGGTAGCATATATATTGTCTCTTGAAGAGAATCTCCAAACTTGGCTTTTTTGACCACTTTAGGTGCGCTAATATATACTCCATCTTTTGTTTTTGTGTGAACTGTTGATGATTAACTATCTCTGACCAGCTAGGATGCCCTATGTACAATAATTTGAGCTTAGCTCATGAAAATTTGGTTTATCTTCCCATGAAAACTTTTTTTTTGGTTGGGGGGGGGGGGTGGGTGGCGCTGTATGAGTGAGTGTTGTGTTTGTGTCAATTTTCACATGGCGTGTCCTTCGCGTTGCATTTCCTGGGTCTTTTTTCCCTGATAGATGCATGTTATCACTACTGACGATCTGATTACTTTTGCAGTCAATTGATGTAATGGACTATTCATTGTTGGTTGGTGTTGATCAAGAGAAGCATGAACTTGTTCTTGGGATTATCGACTTCATGCGGCAGTATACATGGGACAAGCACTTGGAAACATGGGTGAAGGCGTCTGGAATCCTTGGAGGTCCAAAAAACACACCACCAACAGTAATCTCACCTAAGCAATACAAAAAGAGGTTTAGAAAAGCAATGACAACCTATTTTCTGATGGTTCCAGATCAATGGTCTCCGCCTACTATAGTTCCCAGCAAGTCTCAGAATGATTTATCTGAGAACTTGCAGGGTGGAGGTGCTGCTCAGTGATCAAGTAAATTGGCCAATCTGTACATGTGAAGATATATTTTTGGGAGCATGCTCCTGCATTATTCTTCTAGTTCATATATGGTGCTTTTGCCATTTCGAATTCTTTTGGAGGGAACTTCCAAATACCTTCTTTAACAGCAGAATTCATGATTGTTTATCAATGGCTGAAGAACTTGGCTTTACTACCTGGGAAATGCTCAGCAGCATAAAAAGTAGAGTGACCTTTTCTTGAAATGATTTTGTAAAATGGTTTTTGGTACTTTTTTTTTCTTTCATTTTGTATTTAGAATTTAAGATGTAAATCCATTTTGATCATGCAATTGCAATTTTGTGTAACATATTAACTCATCGCGGTTTCTTATTTTTCCCTTGTGCGTGCTTGAAGTTTATCACAATGCGTTGGCTTCCTGGATGAAGGACGAAATATGATGGCTAATCACAGAATACGTGTCCATATCCCTTGAAGAAGACTCGTAGGTGATGTGTCCTCTCCTCTGGGTTTGATGTTCTTGTCTGATAATAGTACTTGTTTTGAGAATTCTGCAGTACCGGAATGGGTCAAATATTCAGATTTCTTGGTTGTTTTAGATTGGAGATGAGGTGGTCTGAAATCTGAATGATTTTGCGCTGCTCCATTTAGTGATGTTGCACTAATCTGTTCCAGCATTTAGCATTCTCGAAATTAGTTTTGATTTTCATTGAGATAGGGCTCTTAGTGGTTAGCATATTATGAGTTAGAACTCATTAATGGGTGCAATTTTCCTCCATATTCGAGTGCTATTCTCAGTCTCTCTCTTTCATATTTGTCTATCTAGTGACATGTTGAAAGAAGCTAGTTGTGGATATCAGAGAGTTGTACAACAGCACGGTCATCACGAGTTGCTGTGGTCATTCTTCCTGTCTCGAAAAAGGCTTTTCCTTTCCTAAACAAATAATGATGGATTCCGTTTGGATGGAGCAGTATTAATTAAAAAAAAAAAAAAAAGAACACCTCAAGAGTCTTTTTTGAACAGGTTTTTCAATCAAAGAATTTTTTTTTTTGTTGTTTTAAATCTCGAATGAATATATGGTACTACCAGAGAAAGTGCCATAATTATTATTTTCAAATAAGTTTTTCTATCTCTTGTGCATATCTCTTGATTAGCAGTAAGTAGAAACCAACTTCTGGGTGCCGGTGCCCATCACTGAAGCTCTGGGTGCCGGTGCCCATCACTGAAGCGACTGGTGGTCTGTTATCTCGGTGTCTCTTGTTTAATCTTTTTCCCTCGATTGAATGCTCCCTGTGAATAATCAATACTCAGCTGGCGATATAGGTGAGAATGACGATGGAAACAAAGCACCATCAGGGACAAAAACTGGCCTAGATGACCCCTTCTGATGTGCAGAGCGTGACAAAGGAAATCTTTATCAGTATGGCGTGTAGGTATGCCGTTTTGGGATCGAGGATGCAGGGGAAGGGACATAAATAAATAGATATTGTAAATACCAACGAGGAGGGTCGAATTATTAGAGGTTATACCAGCTGCTAATACCATGGTGGCCGTGATATTGAAAGGCCAACATTCTATCTTTACAACAAAGCGGACCATCCAGAATTTGTTGATCTTTGCTGGTCAGTTTCATCGCACATAACCCAAGGATCAATCGGGTGTAAGACCGTATATACAAGTATTATGTTTTATGCAGAAACTGAGGATTGAGCAGAAGAATGAGATGAAGGAAGCAGCCATCGATTATTACAGTCCGGATTGATGCTGTTGCCTCGCCGCGGCACCGTGTCCTGTCTCAGCCTTTGCCTAATTACGTCTTGTCACTGTCCACCACTTGAAGCAAACTTCTTTCCAGTAGGTCAATGATCTCTGCTTCTCTGCAAGCCAAACATTATTATTAAAAAAAAGAAGCAATCTTTAGTCACCACTCACTACTACTCACAACCTAGCAAGAGGTGATGAGTCACTTTTTTAAACTAGTGGCAAGATGTACGTTAACCCCAGGAGAAAGGGTTGTTTTTTGTAGGAGAATCTGTGGTCTATTTCTTGCTGTGTACCTTTGATTAACAGCAGTGAATCTTGAAGAAAGATGGTGTAGACGAGGACCTTCATCGATTCCTTCACATGTTATCTCCCCATTTTCTTCTCTGTAACAGACGATTCCATTGGATGGATCCTCAAAAACCTGAAACAGTCAAACCTATTAGCGTACAAAACCAAGTAGTCCTTAGTCTTACCATACATACGTTTAAATTGTCAATCAGCCGGAGAGGAAATGAAGATGATTACCTTGTTTCTTGTAGGTGATCTGATCTGAAAGGGCGTTGTACTAATACTACTTCCAGTGCTGTTGACTGATATGTGATTCTCTGCACTCATCATCACTATGCTCGCAGGCTTTCTGGAAGCAGATTCTTGGATGATGATGGGAGCAGAAACAGAAATCGAGTATCTCACAGCCATTGATTCTCTAGGTATAAGCTAAGTAGTGGAGTGGAGTGGAGTGGAGTGGAATACCAGAAAGAACTTTTACTAGCATATACTAATACTACTATGTGATGAACAAAACAAGGAGATGCTGAATTGATGATCGCTTGTACTCTTCCTTTTGCTAGCTAATTAAGGAATTTCCATTAAATACAAGGCTTATTATAGGCCATACAGGACAATATCCGACGTGTATATACTTGCAGTATTTGATTGCTTTGGCTGAATTACAAAAAAAATGTTCCTCTTTTTATTTTCCGGGTCATCATTAGGCCATGTAAGGAAAGAGCACGTAGGGGGTGATGTATCGTATTATAGTAAAAGATAAATTAGGCCATTTAGCTGCTAATGTCTAATCAGTTGATCTCAGCATTAGTGGATTACTTTAGGTAAAACCTGCGTGTTGGTGGGCTCCATTTTAGCTTATCTTCAAACTGTTGATGCTGCTGTCATCCAGTCGGTTGACGCCAACATGATGATTTTCAATTTCATTTGAGCCCCCATTCGTATTTTCTAAGGGTGGTAAGTATGCCGGTAATCAAGAATTAGTCCAACAATAGAAAGTTGTATAATATGATACGTCAGAGCGAAAAAAAAAAAATGAATTTCCATTCGGGGGATGGATGCCATACCCTGTGTTTGTCTTGTATTTCCATTCAGGGGTCGATTTTGGTTTGTAAACATTTTGGAGAAAAACCTCATATATATATATATATATATATGTGTGTGTGTGTGTGTGTGTGATATAACTCTTGAAAAAATAAACTTTTTTAGAGAAAAGAATATATATATAACTCTCCAATTAGATATCAACCAGGCTAAGGCTCTAAGCTAAGCGCCGAGCGGGAGACATGCACACGTTGAGATGGCATGATGAATGAAGTCGACGTTTCGGGTTCAGGTACTGGTGACTGGTGATAAGAGGAAGACTGAGACGTGACAGTTTGTTCCCTAATTTGTTATTGTTCCTTAGGCAGAAGAACTGGGAAAAAAAAAATATCTTGACACGAACACAGAACAATTAGCTGAAGCATCTAATTGGATTTGTTGGATGTGGGCCTGAAATGACCTGCTGGTTTCTTGTTTTAAAGAAATTCGTGGTGCCATCAAAATCAAGCGACGGCTTTCCTGGGGCCAACATGCCGTAGTATTCAAGGACTGGCGGTTGATTGTTACCTTCTTCGAGGAGGAATAGCATTATAATGCTACTACGATCACCGGTTGAAACAAGAAACAGGCGAGGAATGAGATTTGAGAAGCGGAAAAAAAGAGAGAGGGATTAGAACTCAAAATCTTGAATTCCATTCATCCTAGCTTGATTGCTTGCTTCCTTTGACATTAGATATGGGCAGTTGGCAGGAGGAATCAGCAGGTTCAACCAAGATGATCACAAAGCTGATCCAATTCGTGGTACGAGTTGCTCGAATCAAACATTCTATGCTCAAAACAAACCAAGATAATATTAGGGGACGGCTACTGCACTGTTGTCTGAATGTGGTAGCAACATCCAACATAGCAAGCAATCAAGCAATATGTATAGTAGTAAATACCAGTAGTTCTATATTGGTCCCGAACTCCGGCGAGCAACAATAAGACAGATGCTTCTGTTAATTGAGCGGAGCACATTCAGTGATTAAAGCGCGTGTTGGAAAATTAAGGTGTGCTACTTCAACTGTTTCACAAATAATTATGCGGCTGTGGTTTCCTGTTTTCCGATCACAAGTTGTAGACTTGTTGAGCAATTAGGCCCGAATGCTGACTAATTCTATGTTTAATGCATTAGTTGCATCAATCCCACAAAAAAAAAAAAAAAGAAGCAAGCATTATTGCGAGTGCAGGTCTGCACGCTACACCAGTGAACCCAACGCAACGCGCACGCCTTGTATCCGTGTAATAGACCTTGTTTGAATTGCTAACTTTCTGTCGGAAAATTACGTTGTTTTTCATGATCACATTTTCCTATTGTCTTTTTCCTTCATATACATCAAATCATTACAGTATTTTTTGCATGAAGAATCATGAAAAATACAATCCAAACACAACCTTAGTCTTCCTACCACCTAACTAAATAAAGGGGTTGCACGCCACTGTTTTTTTTTTACTTTGTTAGGTAAATGAATTGCATTTCATCGAGTAGTATATTTGGATAGACATTTTTTTTTTATCTTATAAAAGTTTTCCAAATAATTTTTAATCCAAACAAACTCAGTCACGTGGTTCGATAGCCATTATCTACATGTGTGTTTTGATAGGAGATTATTTTGAATAATCACTTTAAAATTTTTTCGTGATGCAACGTTATTTCAAATAATTATTATAATACTTTTTTTTTTTATATAATGTGAGATAAAGAGATGTCTATAAAATAGAATGATTGATTGAAAACATATTTTATAATGCAAGCAAATAATTTTTTACAAATAATGCCAACAGATAATGGGTGAGATTTAAGAAGAAAGAGCGATAATGAAGATTTGAACCCATCAATGTTTTACTTACATCATAAATAAATTTTTTTATTATACTAACTATATTTTCATTTCACGTGCGTACATACGTCACGTCACAGAAAAATACTACTATTAGTGTTTTTCCAAACAATTATTCCAAATGGAGTAATTTTTTAAGTTTTGCAGCCGGGATTCTTCTCCCGTCGTCCAACTTCGGGATACCTTCTCGATGTGGTTAGTCACTCGCTAGCAACAGAGACGCAGCACAGGTTACGCACGCTACGGAGTACACGAAGTTTTCAATAATAGCATTTGATCATGTGGCCATCTCTGGTTGCTCAGCACTCGATTATCGTCTGTAATCTCGAAGCATCTCTTTTTTGAACTCGTAAAAGGGTTCTAGTATTTGATTAGGATAAGACTACTGTTGAGTTTCTAGGTGGCAACAAACAAGTGGTGTAAATGGTAATCCATGGATCAGCTTGCAAAATTGTTCTATATCCGGAGACAGGCTGGCTGTAACTTTTGAGACAGTAGCAGCTTGCAACCAGCAATACCTTCTGAAACATCACCAAGTAAACAAGGAGGATTAGGGAGGACTTATGAGGCGGATACAGATTAAAATACTTGAATTCTTTTTCCCTATTATTTACCCTTTCTTTCTTAACCCGGCAAAGAAGGCCGTCTATCTCGTCTTCTCCTCTTTCTGGCTGGCGCTATCGTGCCTGCATATGAATTATGAGGAGACTCCCAAAGCTCCCTCTGCCTTTTTAGGGTCACTTGCGTGGTAGCACGTGTCATCTTTCCTGGATTTTTGCAAGTTCACAAAAATCACCAGCGTAGTTTTTAGAATCGAATAACCTCCCAATAAAGTTTTATGTTGTTTACATTAATGTCCCCGTCTGTTAATATCAACCACACATGTGCCTCTGCTTTCGAGGGTGCCTCTCTATCAATAATGCTACAGAGATGATGAGAGGTTCTATACTAGTATCAAAATCAAAATGCAAGATGCGACAAACTGCAATAAATAAATCGAAAAAGCTAAAGGAACAGAGGTCATCGTACTCTATATATATATATATATATATATACATACGTGTGTGTACATGTATATATATGTACATGTACACACACATATATATATACATACGTGTGTGTGTACATGTATATATATGTATATATATATATATACATACATATACATGTACACACACACATATATATATACATACGTGTGTGTGTACATGTATATGTATGTATATATATACATACATATACATGTACACACACACGTATGTATATATATATATATATATATATATATATATATGTAAAGAAAGAAACCAGATCAATCTAATTATTCTTCACCTCGAGGAAAGTCAATAAGAAACTTTTTATTTTTTACAGTAACGATGATGTTCCTGTAATTTAATCTATTATATTTTATAGAGAAGGAGAGGTTAAAGAGATTATGTCGATAACATTCTTATAATCTAATCTATATATATAAATAATTATTAGGTATATAGATTTGATCTGATTAAACTAATAAAGTGCTCTCTCACCTTTTTTAAATTTTTTCACTTATAAGTGGGATTCACACCCCAACTTGCAGCTCAAAAAAAAAAAAAAATACTAAATCCCTTCTCTTTTTAGTGGCTACTGAGCTTTGGCTCAGTGTGGTTTGCCGCAGGAATGAAGCAAAAATAGCTTGCACCACTCAATGCTGCCAACACACTTTGTCCTTTGGTCAGATACACCACTCTCTAGTACTCCTATATGCGAGCGTATTTTCATTTTCCTGGGGAAGCAAAGATCATCGTCCTGCGGTACATTTTAGTCATTGTGAACTGTACTTTACACACAAGCTCCCCACTGGTCAAAACTTTTTCCTACTTGAGTAGTCCTCTTCCCCTGTTACGCAGCTTACGCTTATTCATTTACACCAAACTGCCTCAGTCACTTTCCTATGGCAGGGACTTTTCTATCAAAGTTGATCCACATTTGTAAAGCCATCCAGCTCCCCAATGCCTCTTATTATATAGATTCCATTTCCAATAAGAGAGATTATAATACTAGAGAGCAGTAGAGGCTGGTCTCTTTTGCCTCCATAGTTGATAGTTATACCTCTACTTGCTCATTCCTGGCTCAAAAACATGGATCTCAAAGGCCCCAAATACTATGAAGATCCACCGGTCTTCCCAGCTCAACAGGTGAAATATAAATGCATCCCATTCCCATTTGCACTTCCCTGCATTTCTTCTTTTCTTACCTCTTTTTCCGGACATGGGTTTTGCTTGACAGTTTCTCTATTATTTCATGTGCATTATGGGTTTGTGACATTAGGAAGCAACACTAGTAGAGGGCAACAATTTTTTCTACAGCACGGGAACAGAGAACCCCTTTCTGGACCATGCAATCCATGAACCTCTGTGCAGACTCAATCTAAAGGAAACTTCTGATTTTGTCAAGTCATTTCCAATGAGTAGCAATGGAGCGGAGAGCCGAGGTTTCTTGGACGTGCCGGCTCAGAAAAGGAGAGACCTGGGACTGAGTTCGTTTTCAAAGAGGAATAATGCAGATGCCCCTCCCACACCAGGCAGGCCAATTTTTAGCTTTAGCGTTGGCAATTTGTCAAGAAAGAGTTTCCCTTCCAAGTGGGAAGATGCTGAGAAGTGGCTCATCAGTGGCAGCTCTTGCCATGACTCCCCAGCTCATTACCACGGCTCAAGGCCTCCGTTGCATCAGTTTTGCTCCTCAAAGATGTCCAAGCATTGCAGTAATGAGTTTAAGCCACAGCAGGCTCAGCCTGAGCCGGAGTTGTTTGCTGAAAAATCAAGGGTCATAATAGATGAAAAGGTCTCTACAGTTGTTACAACAGCAGGCCTCCAGGGGCTTTTACCCCCTTTCGGCCATCATAACTCATCTGCTGGAGCTTTCAGTGAAGGGTCAGCCTCAGCTGCAGCAGCAGACGTACTGCTAAAAGGTCAAAAGCTTTTCTATAATCTTTACCCCATTGCCTTTGTGGTGTAATTGTTATTGTGCACACAACAATTTGTATGCTCCTTTTTTTTATTTTGGCCTTGTAAAAGCCCAAGTGATGCGACTTTTGAAGCTTGGCTACAAATGCACTACTACTAATTAACAAGAGACAAGGTTTGGTAGTTGCAAATTAAAAAGGTGTCTAAGTAAATATCCTATGGTGAAAGGGGAAAAACAAAAAAGAAAAAACTACTCGATTATGGTATTTGTTTTCCCAGCACACTTCGAAACTTAGGTATCCCGACCCAAACTTGGTTAGTTTCGAGTTTTTGAGCCAGAGCAGAAATTGTAACGTGGATATGCATTCTTTCTTACTAATCTTTGGACAATCATTTGTTAATTTTGCTATGGCAGATAAGTTCACAAACGAGGCGGATCCTATTTTCCCCAGCTTTAAATGCTCAGAACCAATGAAAGAAGGATTTTTATTTGGAAGTGCAGCAGGAAAATCGACCAAAGATGCAGCAACAGAGGCAGTGAAGAATGAGGTCAAGCACAGGGACATTGGAACAGAAATGACTCCACTTGGGAGTTCTACCACTTCAAGATGCCATACTCCATTCAAAAGTACGTCGCCCGTGCGCCACAACACTCCTGCCGATAGGTCTGGTCCATTAGTCCTGTCGAATTCCAGTAGCACCACTACCATTGACATCACGCAATTGCAAGAGTGCCATTTAGCCAAGTTGCAGTTTGGAACAGCGCCATTTGATTCTGTTACGTCGAATTGGAGCTCGAGGGAAGAGGAGGAAGAGGAAATATCAAAGAGCTTGAGGCACTTTGATCTAACCAATGACTGCAGGAAGAGTTTGTCGGAGTCCAAGGCTTATGCATGGGAAGAAGAAGAGAAGGCCAAATGCTGCATTAGGTAAATTAAAGAGCCAAGTTTTTTTCTCAAGTCTATTTACACCCTCTTATATATCCAGAAATACAAATTGATTGTGCTAATATATCTTCAGGTACCAGAGGGAAGAAGCAAAGATTCAAGCTTGGGTGAACCTCCAAAGGGCAAAGGCAGAAGCTCAATCAAGAAAACTTGAGGTACCCTTTTGGCCTTTTCTTGGTTCCTGGTGGGATTCTTCTTGGATAGATAAGCATTATGCTCTGTGCCAAAATATACATGCATTCGAGATGTGAAGCTGTGAATTGATTGGTTTATTTTAAAACTGAAATCCCCCAGCCCAAAACAGCTATAAAATTTTCATTCTTGCAAGAAGGCCAGATCAGTCATGCATCTTTCAAAGTATCATTATTGTTCCATATATGCAAGCAATACCTCGGAAACGTTGTGGAAATATGCATATGGGAACTTGGGTTCTGTAAGGAAAACTCCGTTAAGAATTCAAAATCCGCTGCCCCCCGAGTCCGAGACTATACGTATCTGTTAGTGTAATAAACATATAGAACGGCTGGATTATGTTGACTATAGTTTGGAGAATTTGTCAGGCTTGTTGCTGGATTGGTCTTCATCGAGCCACCCGCTGCTATAGAACACAATTTTTTTCCTCTGTGGTCCAAAACAAGTTTCTTTATTCAGCCATTTTGTTCATCCAGCGTGCATCACAGTCTTCCTTCTCTCTCGATGAGGGAGAAGAAAGCACGATAATCCCTGTAGTATACTCTGCATAATTTTAGTTTTATATGGTTACGCGTAATGACCCCTACTTTGGGAAGTCCCAATTCCATGTGAGGGTGCAGCAGTGGCAAAATTCTAGATAAACTTTGTCACATTTGCATGAACTAATGGATAACATACTTGAGACTAAATTATTACTTGTCGATAAACAAGGCCAATAAAAATCAGTGCTTTGTCCATTTAACTGATCAAACCTTGGAATCCGTAACCAAGAATTTTTTAATGCAAGCTTTCGTGCAGAGGACTTGCTAATTAGCCCTAGCAGAATATCTTAAGATTGGACTTTTTGTGGGCACTTGCAGTTTTTTTGTCTCAATCTGATGGTAATGATGTTGTCAGCATTGTTATCACTTGCACATTTTTTTGTTTGTTTAACATGTAAACAAATACCAGATGAAAGTAGAGAAGATGAGATCAAATTTGGAGGAGAAATTGATGAAGAAGATGGCAATTGTCCATAGAAAAGCTGAGGAGTGGAGAACTGCTTCCAGGCTTCAACATTCTGAACAAATACAAAATGCCAATGAGCAAGCCCGGAAGATTACCAACCGCCAAACCTCATATATCACTAGAAACAATTCCTGTGGTTGCTTTCCCTGTAATAACCATCACATTTAGACAACTAGCAGGTGCAGCATTTGTACCTCAAGCAATCTTAGGAGATAAAAAAAAATCCAGCTAGAAATGGTTCCTTCCCCTAGCTCTTCCCTGCTACATAAACATCTCTCGTCTCAGTAAAAAGGGCAGGGAAGGGTAATTATGTTGTGGATACATGAGAAATTATATGTTGGATTGAGTAAATTAACTTTGGATGTGGACTAGCATTTAGGTAGGTTCTATTTGTTCTTGAAGGTGAAGCTGGTAGAATCCTAAATCCCATGAACCCAAGATTTTCCGAGCATTGCTTCGCTGCCTTGTCAGTGGTCCTGAACGTCAGTCACGGGTGCACAAATTCAAGAACATCTACCTACCTTTATGTTTATTGGTGGAGCATCTTTTATTTATTTAATCAAGAACAATCGAGACCCAGTGCTCCTGAATTTCACGGTTGAAACTCGAACCAAATCAATACCAACCCAGCATGAGTTACTCATATATCATCTATCAAATCGTGATAGTCTATACATTAATATATATCATCTATCAAACTATCACCATTGACGGTACTCAAAACATATATGTAAAGTGAAGATCAATTAGCTATCAGTATAATTACTAGTAGAAATTTTCAGCTATACATTCAGTTTTCTTCGCTCTTATATGCTGTAAGATTCTACAAATTATGCGTATGGTTTCCTAACAGGACGCAAAGACACCAGCATCCATCATAATGTGAGACATGTGAGGAGGGGAATCACATCACAGCATGCATGCATGCATGCAGCAGTAGTAGCTGGTCGACAAAGAGCGCCATCCCCCACCCCCAAAGCCCCCATACGTACGTTTCTTTTTGAATTTGGAGCGGGTGCTATCCATGGCTAACAAGCTGCTGACACCACATTCCAATTTTCTGATTAGAGAAGGCAAAAAGCTTCCAAAATTGCTGAATCACCATGAGGCCCAAGAACACGTCTTTGCACCGTCAACTTTAGCTCTTGTCTTTTCATAAAGCTGCATACTGAAGAAACCATTCCTATCCCCAAATATAATACTGGTACTGCTAGTCTGCTACCCACTAGAACAGTAAGTAGTTTCCTCTCTCTCTGTCTCTAAGAGCAGAAAGTAGCGGTATTTGGTACATTGGTACACTGATAGGTTTGTCCTTCTTTATCGTCTCACGCTTTGGGTTTACAACTTTACATTGGTGAAAGCTCTGATGATGCGTCTGCTCAATTCACCAATGTTTTGTATTTGTTTAGGCTGACCAAAAAAAAAAAAAAATAACGCGGCTGGCCCTTTATACGATTGAACCTCTCTAACCTAGTCGCAAAAGTTGTGCAAAAAATGACTTCTTGTAAAATTGTATTCGGCTCGTCCACCCACAGCAATAATCGACCAAGCCGAAAATTCCAGCTCCAACGCCACAAACCCTTCTAATTCCCATGACCATAACACTACTAGTGTATGTATTTTAAGTCTGCGGCTTCGGCTAATTAAGATGTTATAATTACCAAAAAGTAGTGGTAATGGTAAGGATTAATTCCATTTTACATCCTTCAATTATATCTCGATTTCTACTTTAACCCCTAAATTATATCTCGATTTCTCGTGAACACATTTCCCAATTACCTTTTTACCTCACATGTATCAAATCGCTACAGTACATTTTCTATTAAAAAACTCTAGAAAATTGCAATCCAAACACAACCAATAATTGGAACCTGATGCGACTGCCGAAGTGAAGATCCGAACTGAGCTGGTTGAGCGTCCGACCTGCACGTGAGCGAGCTGCGGGGCTGAGTCCCCTGTAGCAACTCCGACGATCAAGTCAGAACTAGTTTGTAAGTAAAAAGAGTAGAGTCTGCACTATGAGTAGCGTACCTTGTGTTTCTTATGGGTGTGGTATTTATAGAACACCAGGTGGTAGTTTCCTGGTAGGACAAGGAGTCCTTATTGGAGAGGATAAGCCTCTAGGGCTCCACTACCCAGCTCTGGTAGACGAGGGCTCCGAAGCCCATCAGGCCCATCCGCCTGGGAGGCGGCGCTCGTCTGGTCCTGCAAGAGGACCTGACCCCTAGACCAGCCCATCACGTCAGGACTCTTGGGCCGAGCTGACGTGTATGCGGACCGGGCCGATGTGCTCATGGGCTCCACTACACTAGCCCCCCCTCTAGTCTAGAGTCACCGAACAGGCGCGTGAATCTAGGCCGACTTTCAGAGCGTCGCGTCAGCTCGGTGCGGGCCCCTGTCAAGGAGTGGTGCAAGCAACCGTCGCGTCGGTTCGTGTCTGTCACCTCAACCGTCGCGTCGACCAGTTATGGCGGTTGGGAACGGTTCCCCATAAATAGTTCAAATAAATGCGCGCCCTCTCGTCTTCCCGCCCTGAGAATCGCCTATAAATAGGCCCCTTGGGCGTCATTTTCACTCCTCCTTCTTCGCTCTATCAGTTCGCTCCTTTCACTCCTAGCTCGCTGCTTCAAACTTTTTTCTTTCAGAACACGTCGGGTCGATCTTCCTTAGGAGCCCAGGGTTAGTTCGGCCCTCCCTAAATCAGCTTTTCATCCGATCTCCTTCCATCAGTAAGTTTCCTTTTCCTTTTTATGTCTTCTTATAGTTCTGATAGCTCTGACGTTACCAGTTCGGCCCCTAGGCACAGAGCAGCTAGCCCCATACTCCTAGATAGCCCCTCTCCCGACCCTTCAAGTTCTTCTCCTTCCACTTCATCTGGGTCAGTAACCGCGCCTTCTCCCATACAATCTCCTGTCCAAATAATGAGCCCGGCCGAACAAACTGCCCAGCCTCTAGTCGGGGCTGCGGAACAGGCAGCTCCAGCTCAGATGGCCGCGGGGACCTCGGGAGGACCTAGTGGCGACTTTGGAGAGGTCGACACTATCCCCCCTGCCCTGGGACAGAAGGAAGTTGACGGGCTGGCCGAAAAATATGAAATCCCAGCCCAGTTTGAACCTAGGGCTGCCCTACCGGGGGAGGTCGCCAGCCGACCTCCTCCTGGCTTCGTGGCGATCTATAGGGACCAGCTGATGGCTGGTCTCCGCCTGCCTATTCCCAACTTCTTCTTCTTCATCCTCACCTTCTGGGGCATCCGCATAACTCAGGTCATCCCCAATGGTGTTCGCTCCATTATAGGCTTTTTCATCCTCTGCCGAGCACTAGAAATTCCCTTTTCCCACGACCTGTTCCAAGCCTTCTTCCAGATGAAGGTCAGCGGGAAGGTGCCCGGGTGGTTCTACTTCGCCCGTAGAAGTGGAGCAAAAACCCCCACCCGCGAGCTGTTCACGGGGGTACCTTCCTCCATCAAAGACTGGAAGCGTTACTTTTTTTTTGTGAAGAGCCTGGGCTTTCCCCCTTTGACCTGGAGGGCGGAGACTCAGGTTTCGGATCCACTTCCAGATCCGCTCCCTGTAGCCGAGCTCAGCCGCCTACTCAGCTCAGACGAGAAGCTGGAGGTGAAAGAGTTCAGCAATGCCCAACTCTGGGCGGCGGGGCTGATCCGAGCTAACCCCTCAGATCCCTCGCCAGAGAATAGGCCGCTCTCGCCAGACGAGCTGACCTCTTGTAAACGACCTGGCCCTCCTTTTCTTTCCTCTCTTTGTTTTATGCATCTACTGACCTTCTGGTCTTCTGCTTTTTGCAGTGAAGAGGTTTTCTTCCCTTCTAACCATCGGAGGAGCCAGCACTCCAGGTGCTACTACCCAGCCCTCCTCAGCCATTCCAACCAGCTCGGCACTAGTTCCGACGCCTCAGCCAACTCCTGCTCAGTCCGCCAAGGCTGTCGAGGCTGGGAAGAAAAAGAAGAAGAAGACAACTGCCAAGAGGGCAAGAGTGGAGACGACCTCCTCCCCAGTTCAGGAAGAGAGGTCCACGCCCGAACCTGGTCAGGGCGGTCACTACGGCGTGAATACTGCCGAGGAGCAAGCCCGAGCTGACGCTCCTCCTAACCTGTGGCAACGCCAGAGTTCTACCCTGCTATTCGACCCACAGACGCGGCTGATCACGCACCAACACCCAATGCACTTCTATCCTCAGTGGAAACTCTCCATAAACGACCGAGCTCAATTCCCAGAGGTGGCCAGGGAGCTCGCTCAGGGGGCCATCCTTCCCAGGGACCACAGCTTGGTCAAGGCCATGGAGGCGTCTGACCTCCTCGACTATTATTACACAGGCGCGGCCCAAGTGAACTTGGTTGGTTCCGAGCTGGCCAAGCGCTATGAGGGCCTCCTCCCCCTGATGAGCGAGACGAGGGCGGCCAATGAGAAACTGCTCAACCAGAACGAAGCAGCTGTGGCAGAAGCTGAAGGTCTGAGGAAGCAGCTCGCCCAGGCTCACTCTAATTTTGAACTGGAGCTAAAGAAGAACTCCGACCTGACCTCTCAGCTGCATGGGGAGCAGAAGAGGAGCGCCGAGCTGTCTGCTCAGGTCGAGGCGGCTAGGACTGAGGGAGCCCAGGAGGGCGTGCGGGCCTTCCTCAGGTCGGAGGATTTTAGGGGCGACCTGGCCATCCTAAATACTCCCGTGCTGCATCATGGGTATTCTCAAGCCCTGGAGGAGGTGCAAAGGCTGGGTTTGCCTGGGTTTGATTTGGGCAAGTTTCCCAGCTACAACCCCCTGGCTGTGGAGCAGCTCGACCGCCTGGTGGAGGGTTACACGCATGGACGGAAGTTGGCCGACCTGGTTGCCGATCCTCAGCTGCCAGTAACCACTCCTGAAACCGATCAGGAGGAGGAAGAGGGCGAGAACTAGAGTAGGAACTTAGGATAGGATCTGAACTGTCAGTAGGCAGTTCGTTTTGTATGAGCTTTGCTCTTCCTCTGTGCAATTCCTTTTGTGCGAGCTTGGCTCCCCTTTGTACAGTTTTATTGAATGAAATGAAAAGGCCTTTCCCCTTGCTTCATTCTTAGTCTTATTTGCAAAAATCGTCACAAAGTGCATCAGGTCGGTCCAATACCGACCTGAGGAAACTACTCCCTAATGATGAAATAACTTTTTAGCCGAATACATTAATAACAAAAAGGTCTTGACCTTGGGACGAGCTGTCCTCTTAACGAAAAATCCTCAAGTTGGAATTGTGCCAGGTTCGCGGGAGCACTTCCCCGCTGAGGTGGGCTAACTTGCAGTGCCCATCTCGATCCGCTTCTTTCACCACATAGGGACCTTCCCAATTTGGGTCCAGCTTGCTCGCGCCCAGAACCCGACTGACACTATTCTTTCGTAAGACCAGGTCCCCTGGTTTGAACGACAGAGGTCTCACCCTAGCATTGTAGTGCCGCGCGATCTGTCCTTTGTACTTGGCCATACGTATGGCTGCCTCCTCCCTTCTTCCTTCCAGCAGATCCAAATTAAGGCGCAGCTCATCTTCATTGTCCCGAGCTATGAAATTCTGAACCCTGCCCGATGGAATTCCTAT